ATCAATATTATTTAACAATATAATTCTAAAAAAGGTGTACACCCAAAAGTGCTAGTTGTTTTCTAATTTTGATCTTGAAATTCATTCATCAACTTTCAAATATTGTACAGATATTTCTGTTTTAAAATATGTTTGACGACGCATATGATACAGAGAAATGGAGAGATTTTGTGATGGCAGCGATGGCACATAATGGGCCGATAAGCTGAGAATATTGAGATAATATTGTGTAGGATTATCATTATAGTTAGCAATAACATAACTAAGATATAATCGATTTTTATCGATTTTTATCACAAAGTAGGTACATCAAACGAGATACTGACACACTGTCGGGAGTCGGGACGTACGACTTTAATAACACCGTGTTGTACGGCTCTCATATAATATTAATTTAAAAATGAGCCAATTCAAATTTATTAATTCAAATCGAGGAAAATCTGGAATCATTTTCTAAAATTATTTTTACACTAAAAGAAAAATATTAAAAAGTTGTGAAATTATATTTATATGTCCAAAAAAAAATTTTTATCAATAAAAATTGATGAACATCGAAGAACGGTATTAGAAATACGTGGAGAACATACGCATCTCAAATTGACGGATTCAAAGATAGAAAAACAAGAAGTAAGTCAAATTAAGAATTATAAATTAATTTTACTTTTTTTAAAAATAACTTTGTAAAAGCTAAATCGATGCGCTTTAACAACAACTAAAAAGAGTTGATATAAATATCTATACATAATATCGCCTATCGTTAATTGTAAATCGAAAAAATAAATTTATACTATATTAAATATTTTAAGATTAGGACATAAATTACACATGGAAAGAGGGCCGGAAAGCATGAAAAAGATAAAGACTGCTTAACTTATTTTTACTATACGATATACCTATTCGTAATGCGTATAGTTTAGTAAAAACTTTTTTATACATTTTTTTTCAGATTAAAAACACTATTAAAAGAAAAGCCACTGAAGAAATATCAATGAGGCCTAACAAAATTATACGAAAAGCAATATCTGACGCTGATCATGTAACGGTCAATGATATTTCCAATTATAAACAAAATATATACAGAAAACGTAGAGAGGTTTTACCGGTGTTGCCGAAATCCTATGATGAAGCTATTTTGCAATTAATGTTCGGGATTTTTTATTATGTACATAAATGATTTGCTGAATATTAATGCCGATTCAAAAAATAATTTGTTTTGCGTCATTCTCATTTACGAATTATGAAGCTAATAAAATATTCATAATTATAAAATCATGGTTCAATAATAATTATTTTAGAACTAAACTTAAATAAAATCAAGCATTATATTATCTTTAATATTCAAAATATAAATCATGATATACAATGCAAATCACTATTCAAAATACTTTTAGTCTTAATAATATTTTGAATAATTGTTTTTCTAATAATATTGAATATTCTATCAAATTTCTAGGAATATACATTGATTCCCAATTAAAATGGAACATACATAGATTATAATTTATAATGTATTACGTATAAAGTTCAGTCGTAAACTCTTTTATGTTTTAAAAGACCTAAGATATGTCCTCGATAAACATTAAACAAAAACTTAAAATCATTTATAGTTTCCTTAATTCAATCAATAATTGCATTTGGTAGTGAGGTGTGGAGTGGTGATTATGAAATCCACCTGAACAAATGATGAACTTGACTTTAAATACAATTATTAAGTTTAAAAGTTTTCGATTTTATATCCTCCGACTCGTATGCAATATGTTTTTCTTACTTTGTGTGTCCGTTAACACTACGTGTATTATACTCGAACCAGTACGTGTGCCCCATCTTTTTTATTCTATTTTATCTAATCGTAATTTCATGTGTCATTGTTTTATTTAGTAGCACTTTTCCTTTTATTGTTCTTAAATACTTCTCCATATCAAATATTTGAGAATATTCGTACCCTTCTCCTGAGTCTAAATTTATTATGCGTTCTATTTTTATAATATTTCTATTATCTATTGTATATACTTTTTCTAATTTCCTCTTTTTCGTCTACTTGTACGCATACTTCCTTACTCCTATCATCTGTTAACCCAAAAATTTAATCTAATGCTTTATTAATGTTTTATCCAAATCTGTGAGCGCCGGGTAGGGAACAATAAATAGCCCGTGGCCCGATCGCCGTGTACGTCGCGCGCAATACTCACACACCGACCAACCTTATATTTACTTATATTTGTGTGTATAATATGTATAGCGACTCAAGAGAGGTGGACGGGATCGCCGAGCAAATCTCTGAGCGCTAGGTAGTGGGTGGTGAGTGTGTATGTGTGTATGTGTGTGCTTATAATTTATAATAAAATGGTAACACGTTTATGGTAAATGATATGTTGCTGTATAATACACAATCTCAATAATAATAATACAAATATATAAAAAATCACAGCAACACAATAATGATATAAAAATATAGGTAATAATAATATACGTATGATTGGTCCTTATAACCAATCAGAACAAATCCAAATAATTGTAAATACAAAAATATAATAATAATAAGGTAAAAACTCACGGATATGACGGTGCTCGGCTGGCCAGCTGCTACCTATCCTATGGTATTGACCTAGTAATAGGTACACGTAAAAAATAATAATACACAATTCTCTAAAGATCGCCTTTATGGCTCACAATAATAATAATAATAATATAGAAAAACTGGCGATATGCGCCTGGCAATAATATTATAAATTTAGTGGCGATTCGCAACCACGATACAATAGTATACAACTTCGCGGCGACTCGCGCCTTGCAATTAAACAAAATATTATAACATCGGCGATTCGCGCCTACAGCAATATATAATATAAAAAACACGATGATTTGCGCCTTGACACGATAATAATATGTATATTGGTGGCGATTCGCGCCCTAGCACAATACAAGTTTATATTATAAAAAGAAAAACGGCGATTCGCGCCTTACAATAATATAAAAGGAAAAACGGCGATTCGCGCACGACAATTATTAATTTAATTATTACTCGTTAACAATACGGAACGAACAGATTCCGGCGGCCGTGCTAACTCTTGACGTCGACGGCCGACCGGGCATTATCTACATGTTATATAATTCACACCTGACACAATTATAACAAAAATAAACAATAATGATAAACCTAATACAAATAAAACAATGATCACGTATTATATAATTCACACACGATAACTGAATACAAAAATAAGACAACATAAATGACATTAAGATGTGTTGCGTGTGTGTGTGTATGTAGTGGTCGGTGTGATGTATACCGCGCTATTGCCGAATTGTCGCGGCGGCGACATCCTCCCCCCGTTGAAAGTGATGGGTTTCAACTTGGATCTCGGCATCTGTTGGCAGTCGGCATAACTTTGCGACTGGTCGGCGCACTTCTGCTTGAGTTGACGTCCGTAAAGTAACCACTCTGACTATTCCATCGATACCTGGGTGTACTTGCATTATGCGTCCCAGCTTCCATTTGGTAGGTGGTGTACAGTCTTCCTTTATAACTACTATGTCGTCTACACTCATGTTTTTTCTGGGTGTAATCCACCGTCCTCGAACCTGGAGCTGAGGTAGATACTCCTTGTGCCAGCGTTTCCAGAATACCTGCATCAATTATTGGACATGCTTCCAGCGGCGGAGATTGCTAACTATCTCACCTGGTATTTCCGGTTCAGGTGGTAGGAGCAGTGGACCACCGATGAGAAAGTGAGCTGGTGTAAGGGCATTGGGTTCTCCCGGGTCACTACTTAGTGGTGTCATAGGTCGTGAGTTGACACATGCCTCAATCTGGCATAACAATGTTTGCAACTCCTCCAGATTCAGCCGACTATCCTTGATTACCCGATATAAGTGATGCTTAGTACTTTTTACAGCATTTTCCCAAAGGCCACCGAAGTGTGGTGCCGATGGCGGATTAAAATGCCATTGAACTCCTTCGTCAGCCATGTACCTTTCACTATTTTCTAAGTATGTCCTTAGCTCCTTTTGCACTCCTACGAAATTTGTTGCATTATCGCTGTAAATCTTGGTGCTTTTTCCACGTCTCGCCATAAACCTACGTAAGGCTGCAAGGAAGGCTTCGCTTGTTAAGCCTACGACGGGTTCTAAGTGTATAGCAATATAGTATATAATGTTTCCTCTTCGTCCGGTAAGGCTGAGGTCTTCCATTGCTCTGCGTCTTGGGTCAGCCACTTTGGACCGTTCCACCAGAAATTATTTCTCAAGAGTTCTGCTGGCCTTACTCCACGAGATGCAATGTCGGCAGGATTTTCATTTGTGCGGACGTGTCTCCACTGTCTAGCTTCAGTAATTTCGAGTATCTGGTTCACCCTGTTTGCGACATACGTCTTGAGTCGTTTGTTGTGACAGTTCAACCACCCCAGTACGACGGTTGAGTCTGTCCACAACTGAAAGGAAAGTGTATTGTTCCCCCATGCGTCTGATACCTTTCTTGCAAGCTCTGCTAACAGCAATGCCCCATTCAACTTAAGACGTGGTATTGTCACTGCCCTTAGCGGCGCTACACGAGTTTTGGCGCACATGAGCTGCGCATGATATGTTTCGTTGGCTCCTCTCGTTCTTATGTAAATGCATGCTCCGTATGCTTCTTCAGACGCGTCGCAGAAGCCATGAAACTCGATAACATTGCAGACGGCTGATATCACCTTTCTTGGTATGCAAATGTTCTTTAATGTCTCTAGGTCTCGCATGAATGTTTTCCATCTCTCTATAACGTCTGCAGAGAGTGGACTATCCCACTCAACCTTCAACGCCCAAATTTGCTGCATGAATATTTTTCCTTTGAGTAGCACGGGTGCTAGAAACCCGAGCGGATCAAATACTTGGTTTAGATCGGAAAGGACAGTTCTCTTAGTACATCTTGATTTTGTTGAATCCATGGCTATGCTGAAATGGAATTCATCTTGATATGGTCTCCACTGTAAACCAAGTGACTTCACTGTGTCACCATCCTTTATTTAGAAGGTGTATAGTGGATCAGCCTCTGCCTTGCCTACGTGTTGTAGCACCTTAGTAGAATTTGAACACCATTTACGTAGTGGAAGTTTGGCGGAAATTAAGATAGTGTTTAGTTCTTGTTGTAATTTTATACAATCCTCTTCAGTCTCAGCTCCTGTCATCAAATCATCCATGTATATATCATTTTTGATAACTTCTGAGGCTCTTGGATATTCGTTGTGTACCAGGTGAGCTAAGGTTACAAGGCATTGTGTTGCAAGAAATGACGCTGGTTTCATGCCATATGTTACAGTCGTTAGATTGAATGTTTTTAAAGGTTCAGTAGGCGAGTCTCTCCATACAATTCGCTGCAAGTCCCAGTCCCTTTCATCGATTGCCACTTGTCGAAACATTTTTTCGATATCAGCCATCAATGTATATTGGTGCATTCTAAATCTAGCCAATATGGTGAAGACATCTGCTTGTACTGTTGGACCATGCATCAATATATCGTTTAACGATACTCCGGAAGAGCTCCTTGCTGAGGCGTCAAATACAACCCTAATTTTAGTCGTTAAGCTTGACTCCTTTTGTACCGCATGGTGTGGTAAATAACAAGATCGGACCGGCAACTCAACTTCATTTTGAACTTCTTTCATGTGACCCATCTCAAGATATTCTTTCATGAACCTTGTATATTCTGTTCTTAGCTTGTCATCCCTTTGAAGCCTCCTCTCCACGCTCAAAAACCGTGTGGTTGCCATTATTTGCGTGTTACCGAGCATGTCTGTTGAGATATTGATAGGTAATCGAACAATGAACCGACCTTCTTCGTTGTGTCGCGTGTTGTTCTGGAAGTGATGTAGAGCCTTGTCATCTTCCAAGTATCTCTGATTACCCTTAGAATTGTCGTAATGTGTCGAATCTTCTGTCCTGTCATTGACATCCGAATCTCTTTCTAGAGTTTCTCCAATATTTAAAAGACAAGTTGCATCTATTACTCCAGTCACAATCCAACCAAATTTGCTATCTTGTAGATAAAGCTTCCCTGTGATAAGTGGAATCCGCTCGGTTCCTATCAAATCGAAGAAAAGAGCACTTCCAATTAATAGGTCAATCGATCCCGATTCACAGAATGTTGGATCTGCTAGGAAAGGTACAAATTCATTAGGAATGTTCCAACCATCCCTGGGAGTTGGTATAGCGGATAAGTCATTCACTATAACAGGCAATATGTGACAGGTCATTTCGACATCAAATTTCTTGACGGAGGAATTTACGGTTACGTCTACACTTGCACCCGATTGAGTCTTGCTGGTACCAATACCGCATATTGGTAGGACGTTTGTTCTCTGTTTTAATCCTAAAACTCTCGAAAGCTTTCTTGAAATAAAGTTTACTTGTGAGCCACTGTCCAGGACGGCTCGACACCTGTGATAGGAACCGTTGCTGTCCTTTACGGTGACTACTGCTGTTGCTAAAAATACGTGTTCACTTGTTGCTTGAGCTGGCATGGACACTTTCTGACTGTTGCTCGGCGAGGTATCTTCCTTTGATGAGCTTGGAAGATCGTCCTCCTTCTGTCTGGTTGCTCCTGATTTCCTCTCTTGATGGAGTAAGGTGTTGTGCCTGCCTTACATGTTTGACAACTATATTTTGATTTACAATAATCCTTTGAGTGGTACGGTGACAGACAGTTGAAGCAGAGTTTTGCATCTCTTACAACTGTCAATCGACTATTGACGTCTAACTCCTTGAATGAGTCGCAGAAAAATAACCAATGCTTACCCGAGCAGTGAGCACACTTATTGTCGCGGTCATTTTTGTTGGTTAATAGTGTTAATTTTGGCGATTTGTTATTGCTCTTGTATCCCTTTGACCTTTGATGAGGTACAGAGTTAGTGTTGGTTCCCTCCCGTTCGGAACAAAATTGGTAGGAGGTTTCCATTGCCACACAGCGGCCTGCAAGAAATTCTTCTAAATCTACATACCTTGGGAGCTGTGTATTCCTCTGATGTAGTTGCCATCCGTGTAACGTGTCCCTGTCTAACCTCATGCTAATGATAGTTATTAGCCAGGCATCCCATTTGTCCACAGGTTGATCTAATGCCTTAAGAGCTGCAATATGCGTGCATACATGTGAATGTAGTTGTTGAAGCTCGGTTGGGGTTGCATTTTCTACGTGTGGAGATTCTAATAATGATTTGATGTGAGACTGTATGGTTAAGCTCTTATTGTCGTATCTCTGCTTAAGCCGTTCAATCGCTACATAATAGTTGGCATCCGTCATAGGCACCGCTTTGATTAGATCTAGAGCTGCACCAGTAAGATATGATCTGAGGTAGTAAAATTTATGAGCCGATGTAAAACTATTTTCCTCGTGTATTGCAGATCGGAAAAAGTCGAAAAAAGGTTCCCAATCCTGAATGTTCCCGCTGAACTCAGGAATTTTTATTGGTGGTAATTGTATTCGTGACTGGTTTGTTGACGTATTCGAGTTATGTGAAGTATCATGATCTGAAGCATTCCCAATCGGAAATGTATGACTTACGCCGACACTCACAAAGGGCGTAGTACTGCGCCTGTACTGGCTACCCAACAGTTGTCTGGCCCTTACGGGCACAGTACTGGCTACCCAACAGTTGTCTGGCCCTTACGGGCACAGTACTGGCTGAAATGTTAGCCAGTACTATATGAGTACTGGAAAACCATAGCACCGGCAGCCAGTATTGACACAGTACTGGCATACTACGGGCGCCGAATGAACTGTGAGCCAAGGCCAACCAGTGTTTCTAGTAGTTATGCCGACGTTGGCGAAGTACTGGCATATTACGGGACCCACACGATATATGAGCAAAGGCCGGCAATGATTCACGTGGTTGTGCCAACGTCACCGGAGTACTGATATATTATGCGCTTATTATTTTAATGGTGAGCAAAGGTCAGCCAGCGTTAATTGTAGTTGTGCTCAAGCGTTGGACTGTTGGAGAAATACTGGCATATTAAAAAAGATAAAAACTACTGCCTTTAGGAAAAATATATTTCTTATTCGTTGGATATTTATACAAATGCATCATTGTTAATTGTTATAATGTTATATACACACACTTTTGTTTATGTAAATAGATTGGAAATGAAACACAGTCCAGTAAATGATTATTGCAACAAATTATTAGGTAATACCATATACAACCAAAATAACGACGATATACACACATAAATACAAACAAATCCGTCGTGCCAGCGTGCAGCGGTATAAAGTATAAACGGGTATAATTTTTTTTTTTTTTTTTTTATTCATAAAGTCTTACTGACGAATGTCATCTTAACTAATTGTTAATAATGTAGTAATATCTTATCTAACGCTATTGTGATACGTAGCTACTGGCTAGGTATCAGTGTGTCAGCCTGTATTGTAGTTAGTCAGTCTTCCGCCGACTAGTGTACGGACAGTATGTGTGTACGATAGTGTGTGCCACGTACTGTACAAAATAATTGTATTAGTAATATTGAATTCGTTGTAATTAGATTAAAAAAACCAGTGCGCCGTTAAGTCACGTCATTATTTTTATTTAAGTGTACTAACCCTATCTTAAATCTAAGTTGTCATCCTACAACTTCAGAAGTGGGATTCGATCATTAGGATTCAAATTCGAACTGATCAACGGAAAGCGCCACAACCCACAAAACCTCAGATCTCAAAACGAAAATGGAGAATAGTTCGCAAAATGAGTATCATTCCGAGTCTAGTGAGTCAAAAGTTTCAAACGATGTCGGAAACGTGGTTTCCACACCGATACAAATGACGCCAAAAGAAGTAAGTAAAGTTATTTTTGGATCGGAGAATATTGGTTACGATAGTGATGATGGTCGTCAGCAATCGTCAAAAGCATCTGATTCTCAGTCAACAGTGCTACCAACCATCATACCCGAAAACACCAAAGATAAGAAATCTTCAGATGACACTGCTTCGCCAACACCGATAATCACTAATTCGAATATTGATATCAATAGTGCGTTGTGTACACTTCTTCAACAGAATCAACTTCTGATTAACCGCTTGTTGGAACGTGACAATACTCCATTGCGTAATGAATCTCCTTTTCCTACCAATTCCGATGGATTCTATGTTATGCCGGACTTCCACAACACCATTAAGAATTTTTCAGGCATTGAATCTAGGGCTCAAGCCAGAGACTGGCTTCAGTCAGTGCAGTCAGTGGCTCGACTTCATCATTGGCCCGAAGCATTCAAATTAGAAATCGTTCGAACTAAGTTAGTTGCGGCTGCGAGCAACTGGCTGTGTGGACGAAACTTTAGAACGTGGTCTGATTTTGAAAGGCAGTTTATATCCACATTTGCAAATTCATCAACCTCACTTGTAGAATGTATGAAATTATTATTGTCCCGTATTCAAAACAAAAATGAATCTTCAGCCGAATACTTCCACGACAAAGCACGTATGTGTCGTGAGGTAAAACTATCGTTTCCTGAAACGAAACAGCAAATCATCGAAGGCATCCATTGTCGAGACCTATGTTTCTATTTGCTTGCTCGTGATCATTTAGATGAAGATTCTTTGCTGGCTGACATTCTATCTTTCACTACAATGAACAGTGCTAGATATGCTCATTTTAAGACTGATCCTCAGCCTCCATCGAATCCTTCTGTTCACCAATCGTCTCAAAAATCTCAAGAAAACAAAACTTCTGTTTCAACAACTTTGACCAGTAAGCCGTAGCCTTCAGTTAATCCAGACAATCCATCTGCATCAACCATAAGATGCTTCAATTGTTCATCACATGGTCACTATGCTGCGTCGTGTCCCAAACCAAAGCGTGAACCAGGTTCCTGTTTCAAATGCGGTTCCACATCACATCAGCTTCGAGGATGCCCTTCTGCAGGTACCAACAACAAGGAAGCTCTAGTACTTCAGTCACCCTCAGAAAATGTAAAATCTGCCTATACTATTAAGTTAGATGTTAAGTTTCCCAGTGGTAAAATAGTTGAAGTATTAGCGATCATTGACACTGGCAGTCCTGTTAGTTTGCTAAGACAAAATATAGTTCCTTCATGGTCACCACCACAAGTTCCTCCATTAGCATCATCAGGTTTAGTAGGTATAAATGGTTCAGAATTAGTTATTTTAGATCAAATGTTTGTAGATATTCTACCACCATATAATGACCATCCGATTAATGTCAATATAAATATTGTACCAGATAGTACCATTAAATGTGACTTGTTACTTAGTAGAAACTTTTTATCACATCCCAGAGTAGTCTTAACTATAAATAGTGGTTCTTTTGAAATTGATTTTAAGCGTTCAGATATTGTAAATTTTGATGAGATTCTTAGTATAGAAATAAGTCAAGACTGTAAGAATAGTGAGCTAAACCTGAATATTGAGGAAACTTTACCTAGTCATGTTAAGAGTAAAATTAAAAATATTGTAACTAGTTCCTATTTGAATAATAGTTCTCTTCCAACTGAACTTGTAATGTATGACCCACCTGAACTTAAGATTGAACTTAAGGATAGCAGTTTATTTTATTTTAATCCAAGAAGATTGTCTTTCTTTGAGAAAGAAAAATTGCAGCTAATATTAGATGATTTGTTAGTTAAGAAAATTATAAAACCTAGTCATTCCGAGTATAGTAGTCCTATTGTATTGGTGAAAAAGAAAAATGGTGAACTTCGGTTGTGTGTAGATTACCGAGAACTTAATAAACGTATGGTTAAAGATCGCTACCCATTACCACTGATTGATGATCATTTAGATTCATTGAGAGGAAAAAAATATTACACTTGCATTGATTTGAAAGATGGATTTCACCATGTGAAAGTAGCAGATCAGAGTCAGAAATATACCTCTTTTACTACTCCTTTAGGTCAGTTTTCATACTTACGTATGCCTTTTGGTATTTGCAATGGACCTAGCATATTTCAACGATTTGTTAACAATGTGTTTCAGGATCTAATCAAGCAAAAACGTATCATAGTGTATTTTGATGACATTGTCATAGCAACTGAAACCATTGACGAACACTTATGTATTCTCTCTGACGCTTTGAAATTGATGAGTGCACATCAACTTCAAATAAGGTTTGATAAAAGTCAATTCCTGAAAATCAAAATAATATATTTGGGATACCAGGTTAGTGTAGAAGGGATCCGCCCTAATCCAAGAAATGTGTCTGTTATTCGTGATTATCCTATTCCAACTAATCCCAAAGCTCTGCATAGTTTTCTTGGTCTTGCATCGTATTTCCGACGTTTTATACATAACTTTTCTGTTATGGCCAAACCATTATTCGACCTACTACGAAAAAACATACCATTCCATTTTGGTATAGACAAATTGAATGCCTTTGAACAAATTAAGAATGAGTTGATAGGCCGCCCTACTTTATGTCTTTTTAATCCTGTAGCTGAAACACAATTACACTGCGATGCTTCCAGTTTAGGATTTGGGTCTATCTTACTACAAAAACAACCAGACGATAAATTTCATCCAATTTTCTATTATAGTCAACGTACTACAGATGTAGAATCAAGGTACCATAGTTACGAACTAGAAATGCTCGCAATTATAAATTCTATTAAGAGATTCCATGTATATTTGCAGGGCATTAAATTTAAAATAATAACTGACTGTAATAGTATTACGTTAACCCTTAAAAAGAAAGAAATTAACCCCCGAATCGCTAGATGGGCTTTGTTCTTACAGAGTTATGATTATGAGATTGAGCATAGAATAGGTAACCGTATGCGGCACGTAGATGCCCTAAGTCGAAACCACATATTAGTACTAGAAGGGTGTACTTTTAGCCAAACCTTGTCTATTAAACAAATGTCTGATCTTGAAATTAAAAGAATTGCTGAGAACTTAGAAAATTGTGAACACCCATTATATGAGTTGCGTAATGGCCTAGTTTACAGAAAAGGTAAAGATAAACTCTTATTTTATGTCCCTTCAGAAATGCGAGATCATGTCATAAGAGCAAGTCATGATGATATGGGTCATATAAGTATTGATCGTACAGTAGAGTTAATTAAAAGAGTGTATTAGTTTCCAAAATTGAAAGAATATGTCAAAAAGTATATTGAGAATTGCCTAAAGTGTATAGTTTTTTCCCCTAGTGAAGGAAAGAAAGAGGGCTTTCTTAAATTGACTGAAAAAGGAAATAAACCATTTAATACAATTCACATAGACCATTATGGACCTCTGAGCACAACAAAAGGGAGATTTAAACACATTTTTGTGATTGTTGATGCTTTCAGTAAATTTATAACCTTGTATGCTGTACGGTCAGTAAAAACAAAAGAAGTGTGTTCAAAACTTAATGAGTATTTCTTTTACTATAGTAAACCTATTCGTATAATATCCGACCGTGGTACATGTTACACCTCTGAAATGTTTAGAGAATATTGTAAGTCCAAAGAT